GGCACAGCACCGAGGGTTGCGATCCCGTTGCCGGTCCCGGTCCGGTACGGGTGCGACACTGAGGGTTGCGATCCGTTGCTGGACACGAAAAAAGACAAAAAAAAAAAAAAAAAAAGGCAAAGGAGCTGAATAGAAATTTTTCAAAGGAAGACATACAAATAGCCAATAGGTATATGAAAAAACACTCAGCATCACTAATCATCAGGGAAATGCAAACCAAACTTCTTTAAATCCTACTGAAGACTGTCAGATATAGAGACAGACCTAGAAAGACAGTCTGTCTCCTACCTTTTCTTGTGTATTTAGCCAATAAGTAAACTAAGATTTCTGCTATCAGTCTCTCTCCCTGGTGAGCTTACATATGAAAGGGAACACTAGCGCTCCATTCATCTTTATCCAGTAACCTCCCATCCATTCCTATTCTATTTCACTTCAGGGAGCAGACCTAAATCCTTTTTATTAGCCATCATAACTACAGCTATTCCCTTTCCATGAGGCATCAATTGGCTCAGCTTTTTAATAAAGTAACTAGAGTGTGTTAATTGTTTTCAGTGTAAATAAGACTTGTTTAAAATAATAGTAATCTTTAAAATAAAAAATAATCATATTTGTTCATATTGCTTATGTTCCTAACATTATTTATATTGGGAGAAAATGTTGCTCAGCATGTCACTTTTTGTTTTACAATTAATTCCATAATCTCCCCCTTTTAAATTGACATCTGTTCTTCTTTCTTTATTAAACCTGCTGTGATCTCAAGCCTTGAAGATTTGATGTTTTGTACCCCCCTCAGGGAATATCCTTTTTGACTGCTCAAAGAGCTGACATAAATCTTACATAGCCTTGGACTGTGTAACTGGATAGCTAAATGGGATGTATAGGGCTTTTGTTTGTTAAGACAGTGTTACAGGTGTGCACATTCAATAACTTTTGGTATAAAACTTAGTTCTGAATATCTGTTCAGGAGGAGGAAATGCCATCTGAATGACATTATTTCCTCATGCCTGTAAGAAAGCAGCAGGATGGGAGCATACCATCTAACTTGTCTTTGAGGTAAAAAAACAGCATCAGATGCTGTCCCTAATTTAAGCACACACATAGTATCTAATGGTCTTTATTGATCTCTAGTGGCTATTGCCTGCTCTTAAGATCTTTGAACATCAAACAAATAATAGGTAGTAAAACTAAATGTAATTGTTTGATGAAGTGTCCTAATCTGTTAAATCAGGAAATGGTTAGGCTAAATGATTTTACTAGCAAGGAAACACCTGCCTCCTACAAATAACCTATTGCTTGTTTTCCAAACAGGCACCAGAAATAAAAGATAGTACTGTTTACCTAGAGAAATTCATCAGACAGTTAAGCAGGTATATTCTAAAATGTGATAGAATTGAAATATCTACTTAAAGTCATTCTGCTGTACCTATTTAACAAATGAGATATAAAGTCTGATGGAGTTCAAAACCATAAAATGTAGTTATTCCAATGCTTAGCATTCGTATAGAATTCTTTTAATTATGTTTAAAGTAATTTAAAATTTTCACAACTTTACATGTAATATGTTGGGTAGTATTTTGAACTACAATGGACATGATTTTCTTTAAGAAGACATATGCCTTTACTGAAGATTTTAAAAATGAAATTGTGCAGTGAAAAGATTTATGAAAGTCATGCAACTCAATCCAGTCCCCCATATTTTTCATATTGGGAAGCAGAGGTTAGAGAAGTGAAGAGACATGGTGGAGTTATTCAGCTGGTCGATGTTTGGGTCAGCACCAGTTCTGTGCTCTTTACTATGTGATGACGTCTGCCACAGTATATCTATTTCCTGATATATAGCATAAGTCCATTCTTATTTATACAAGTACTCCTTTCTTCATTACTTAAATTCTTGGAACACAAGGGAGTAGAAAATTATATTTAGTAAATGTTCAATAATGTACTTAGGGCTACTTAAATCAATTATTTACAGCAAATTTTGATGTTTGAGAATATATTATGTATATTTGACTATCTGGTTTGTATTTTTATTATTTATCACTTTTAAATTAATTTTTTGCTATTAACAATATATAGTAAGGAAATGATTACAAGCAAATCATTTCAAGCTTTATTCCCCACTACCATTAGTATATTAAAAAGAAAAGATTGGCAATAGCATATCTCTTTCTAAGCTGATTGTTCCTTAATTTTCTTGTATGTAAAAATAAAGAAAGAATTTTAAAAAACACAACAAGAATATTAATCTCTAGT